TATATAGATATAAATAAATAGAAATATAGATAAATATATATATATACATATACAGTATAGCTACACACAAGACCATAGCACACATAACGCTTATTGATAGTACTCTCGAACTGAAATTATGCAACGAATGCGTATCTGTGCGCATTCAAACTGGTTATACATAACGCCAGTGCAAGGACATACATCGGTCATCGATAATACTCTCTATATTCCAGTACGTGTCCATGGGATCGTCCTCTGGCTTGCAAGTAACCTCGCCTTGGTCAAAGCCCCACTTGGGCAATTGAACGTTCCCGTTGTGCAGGTAGCATCCCTGAGGAGGAGATGAACAAAGAGTGGTTGAATGATATGTACTATAAGAGATATCCCTGAGAAGGAGATGAATAAAGCGTGGTTGCATGATATGGGCTTTAAGAGATATCCCTGAGAAGGAGATGAACAAAGCGTGGTGGAATGATATGAACTATAAGAGCTGTAATGATATGGAAACTCGGGCACTTGTCCATTCCCACTGCAATGGTGGTGTCTATGAGGATACAAATAAAGAGGGGTTGAGTGATATGAACAACCAGTGCTTAAATAGTAGCGATATGGACCTATTGCATCTTGAACGGTATTATGATGTATGTTCATATACAGACATAAACACGTGTATTTACACACACACCATATATCAGATGGACACACCTGCGCTTTGTGCTTGAATCGGAATCGGGAAGTGATCAGATTGACAGGGCAGCGTTCCGCCTCAGGAGCGGTCGTTTTGGCACTGCAACCCTCGACAAACAACTGCCAGATGTCATTGGAGTCGCCTTTACCGTTGCTGCCGTAGCATGTCACCTGTGAGGAAATAAGCATTGTGTGAGGAAATAAGCAGCCTGAGAACATAATAAACTTCAGAATCGGTGCAAACTGTGATGGATGGGGTTTTTGATATGGATATGGATAGAAGTCATCCGACTCCCCTCAACAACTTCTGCTGAAATAAAAAAACATATAGCAATGACAATGACAATGGGTAATCATATTATATATAATATATATAAAGTGCCAAAATCTCAATTTCAATATAAATTTAGTGTATACATAAATATAAATTTAAAGTATGGATGTGAACTATGTATATGGAAAATGAGCATTCGAGCATTCATAAGCAATCTCACCAACAAACAAAGACAAGTGACAAACGCCCATCATATATAGGTACCAATACACATGCTTGTATAAATACTACAAAATTTTAATAAAATACAATTACCAAAACACAGGCATATACAAGGGCAAAAATCACATGCAAATATCAACTCACACCCAAACAACCCATTCAGCACATACACTACCACCTCCCTTAGACCCTCCCTCCCCCCTCTCGAGTGTATGAAGAATCTCCTCAACCCTAAATCATAGTATATATATATATATATATAGATAGATAGATAGATAGACAGATATATATTTATAGATATCACTCTCAGCACACCCACCCACCCACCTGCTTGTGCTTGGTGGTAATCGGCGCGTTCTCCTTGTGGCTGTGCAGCAGTCGCTTGGTAGACATGTGCTCCAGTCGGATATAGTCTCCGTGGCGCAATAACCGGACATTCTCGGCCCCCAAATACGGACTCTCGTCATATGGTTTGATCATCCAGTTATTGTTGTGGTCTTTGTGCGAGTATGTGGTCACTTGCTGCTGGGCCGGTCCTACTTCTTTGGGATAGGTCTGTACGTGCGAGTGCAGCAGAGCCCCACTGATGCGGTTGGCTTTAATGGTCAGCTGAGAGCCCATGGCAACCTGATAATGGAAAAGGTAATACTTAAATTGGATATATATGTGTATATATCTATATCTATATATATGTATACATATTGATATATAATATAATATAATATAATATAATGATATAGTACAATATAATACAATATAAAACAATTTAATATAACATAATATTATATAATATAAGAATATATAGTAATAAAATAATAAAATAAAATAATGATATATTTACATATACATGTATCGATAAACACAAACACAAACACAAACACAGGCACACACACATATATATATGTATATATATATATATATATATATATGTATAATACATAATATATATATAATTATATATATATAC